GAACTTTCAGCCCCACTCCTTGGTCTCTTGGGAAGGGGAGATTTAGTCAATAATCAATTCTGCCTACGTGATGAAGCTTTCATAAAAATTCTAAACACTGGATTCAGAGAGCTTTCAGGTTAGTGGAACACCTTGGGAGGCTAGCAAATCATTGAACATGAGGAACGGGTAATGGCAACACCTGATTTATATGTGGAAAATCCACACACTTGGTGTCAGAAGTGTTGAGGATAGAAAAATTTTTTTCATTTAACTATATTTATGCTTTTTGGTAGAAAACAAATGCCCCTCAGTATTACAGAAGATCACACTATCATTTACTATCTCTGACCACTTTCAAGTGACTTACTCAAGTATTAAATATTAAGATAACTGCCATGATCACACTTTAAAACATTTAAAATCACTTTTTAAAAAAAGTCAAATTCACAAAAAAAGAGTAAGAACATGGTTACCAGGGGCTGGGGAGGGGAGAAAATAGGGAGAGGTTAGTAAAAATATAAATTTTCAGCTATAAGATGAAGGATGTGTGATGATCTAATGTGAAAAACAAGGTGATTGTAACTGGTAATACTGTACTGTATACTTAAAATTTGCTGAGAAAGAACTTAAATGTTCTTAACACACACCAAATAAAAAATAAATAATGTGAGGTGAAGGATGTGTTAATTTACCAGATGAGGGAATCCTTCACAATGTGTACATATATCAAATCACTACAATGTACACTTCGAATATCTTATAATTATAGCCAATAAAGCTGAAATTTTAAAAAAACCTATGTCAGTGATATCCAACTGTTCAATTACATGGTGGAACTAGTGTCAGTGCTAAAAATATACTCTTGAAAAGTAGTAACAGGAATAAAAATTCAATATAACCTCACACTAGGAAGTGAGTTTCTATTTATAATATATGCAATTTATTAATGTATAATATACATAAGTTATAATATATGTAATTAATTTATAATATATGTAAATTTGTTGCTCAGAGTCTAATGCACCCAATGTTATTCTCAATCATATGCAAAAACTGGAATAAATTGTGATTTTTGAATTATTAGAAATCCTTGGGGATGCATTCCTTGCATAAACTACTACCAATCCTGCAGTTTCTAAATTGCTAACAAAGACCTAAGGACCATCATCTACACATTACTTTGAAATGGCTAAGGGATATATGGTCTAATCAACTTTAGTCTTAATAACTACTTAATAAGCCCTGTAAGTTTGTTTCTCTTAACTGTTCAAGTATCCACTAACTAAAAGTCTGAAGTTAGTCATAATACCTAATGTTATCTACCATTATCTTCTACAAGATAATGACTAAGAATCAGAATCTGCAGTTGGACTCAGGTGTGCATCATAACTTTAAGCAGTTTGTCTAACAAGGTTCAGCTAAAAATAGGTCTCTTTTTCACATTTGTATAATGAGATCATACAGCACACACCTCTTGAAGTTGTTTTGAGAATTAAGGGATATAACTACAAGTGCCTACAGCAGTGCCTAGAACACCAAAAGCCCTGGTTACATGTTAGCCATACGATAATAACAATTAGTATAAAAGAAGAATTTAATGAAAACCCTGTTCTAAGATCTAGTATTTATTATTCAGAGAATATCATGATAGTTAAAAAAATTTCTTATTCTCTTCCTCTTTCTCCTAACTCTCTAATTATGGACTCCCTGTTCAAATTTCATACCTGCAATAATGACAGACCTTCTTCATTAGCTCTGTGCTGTGCTCTTTCCATTTTCAGTAGATTTGACACGTTAGTTAAATCTTTCAGCTTTTTGGGAGGTACTTTAAGGGTTTCACATAGTTGAAGCAATCTTAGGAATAATAAAAAAAAATTATGTTTACTTTTTTAAGAACTATTTTTATTTTGTTTTGTTTTGTTGTGTTTTGAATTGTGTTTGCTCCCATCTTTTTTCTGTCCTCATATTCTCAAGGGCTATCATATTCTTTTATTAACAGTAGCTAACATTAGCAGTGACTCTCCCATTAAAAAGCCATGACACATTATCTTTTAGCCTTTTGAGTTATTAAGATTTACCTCAAATCATGTGGCACTTAAGTTGTTTCATGAAAGGAGAAATTTCTGTTTTACACACTAATCAATTTTATTATATATATTTATATAATTTCATTTTTATATAATTTCATTTAAATATATTTTAAAGATATTTATTTATTTATTTATTTGTGAGAGAGAGAGAGAGAGAGAGAGAGAGAGAACGAACATGAGAGAGGTCAGCAGGAGAAGCAAACTCCCTGATGAGCAGGGAGTCCGATGTGGGACTCCAGGATCATGACCTGAGCCGAAAGCAGTCGCTAAACCAACTGAGCCACCCAGGCGCCCTCATTTAAATATATTTTAAAATAAAACATTCCTTGTATCTTCTGAATATATTTCCTAGACTATTATAGCACATAATTCTATCATTGATTGTGAATAGCTGGTTAAGAGATGAAACACTATGCTGTAAGTCATAATTATGACACTGAACTCTATATTTTAGTTGTCTTAGATAATATGACCAATGAAAAGAAACTCTGTATTAGTTACTCTAAAAATGATTTTAAAGATAAGTGAGTCCCACAGAGTTTAAGGCAAATAAAATGTTAAGATTAAAGTGCTTTGTTTAAAAGTATAATCAACATGTCTATGACCCAGCAATTACACTACTGGGTATTTACCCCAAAGATAAAAATGTAGTGATCCGAAGGGGCACCTGCACCCCAGTGTTTACAGCAGCAATGTCCACAATAGCCAAACTAGGGAAAAAGTCCAGATGTCCATCAACAGATGAATGGATAACACAACGGAATATCATGCAGCCATCCAAAAAAATGAAATCTTGCTATTTGCAAAGACATGGGTGGAACTAGAGGGTATTATGCTAAGCAAAGTAAGTCAATCAGAAAAAGACTATCATATGATCTCACTGATATGCAGAATTTAGGAAACAAGGCAGAGGATAGCTGGCATAGAGAGGAGAAAATGAAACAAGATGAAACCAGAGAGGGAGACAAACCATAAGAGACTTAATCTTAGGAAACAAACAGAGGGTTGCTGGAGGGGAGGGAGGTGGGGGGGATAGGGTGGCTGGGTGATGAACATTGGGGAGGGTATGTGTTTTGGTGAGGGCTGTGTATTGTGTAAGACTGATGAATCACAGACCTGTACTCCTGAAATAAATAATACATTATATGTAATTTTTTAAAAAAAGAAAACAAAAAGAAAACTGCATATTAGTCAAACTAAAAAAAAGGACAATCAACATGAATAGTGTGCAATATTAAAAGTTAAGGAATCCTCTCTAAATATGTAAAAAAAGGAAAGAATAGAAGAAAAAATAAAAAGAAAAGAAAAAAACAAATTAAAAACAGAAAAGTTAACAAAATATAGCAAGGTTATAAAATCTTCCTTCAAACTGGGTTGATTAGATTGCCAATGGAAACTAACCTATCACTACCCTCACTGGTAGCAGGAAGCAATACAGCTTTCCTAAAAGCTTTAATTCTTAGATTCCAGGAGGAAGAGATTAAGGAGGAAAATCTAAATTTGGTTGCTTCTTCTTAATAGCAACATTTTGGGGTTCTCAAAAACCCTACTATTTAAGATGCAGGTATAAATAGTGGAAAACAAAACTCATCTTTCTAGGATCTTACTCAAAATATTATTTTTTGTAAAGAAAAAAGAAAGAAGCAGGTAATATAAAGCTGTACCAATCATAATTTTCATCAAACTGTTGGGACAAACCTCAGTAATCCAATCATTAGGAAGGGCATCACATTTAAGAATAAAAACTTGTAAGGCACCTGGGTGGCTCAGTCGCTGAAGTGCCCAACTCTGGATTTCAGTTCAGGTCATGATCTCAGGGTCCTGGGATCAAGTCCCTACGTATGACTCTGCACTCAGCATGGAGTCTGCTTGGGTTTCTCTCCCTCTGCCCATGACCTCTCTCTCTCTAAAATAAATCTTTACAAAATAATAATAATAAAAACGTGTGTGTATAACCATTCCTAAGAGGGATAAGTTCTTGATTTCTTAACTAAAATAATGATCCATTTATGAACAATTTCTTCTAAAAGTTTATCAAGTTAAATCTGTGAAAGGGTCACTCACTATTCTACATGTTGTAAACAGAGGTTATATTTGCAGAAATCTTAAAAAATCTTATTAAAATAAAAGTGTTACATGAATACATCAGCTACACCTAAACATCATTCATAACATTTTTCTATTGGGCAGACTCATGATCAGACAAACAAAACAGGGTTGCTAGTCAAACAGAATGGGTTAGACACTACAGTTTTTAGAGAAACATACTTTAAGAAAGTCTGCACCATAGAAAAATGTTATGAAAGATGATTAGGTGTTGTTGACATAGTAGGGTGTATTCATGTTACACTTCTATTTTAATAAGATTTTTTAAGAATCCTGCAAATCTAATTGTACTAAAATATTCTCATTTATACACCAAATATGACTTATTTGTTCTCTATTAAGTCAATAAATAGCTACACTTTTATTATGTATTAGCTTATACACTGGCTTTTTAGTACACTCCTTCCCTTTTAATATTAGACTGTCATTCCCATAAGCAGGTTGCAGGTCCGCTTCTAGCAGTCCTTCCTCAATCTTCCTCAATCTCTTCAATCTCTATACAAACTCCCCTTCCCCTCCACCCTTTCTGTTTTGTTATTGTTGAAATTATAGTTAAAGTAAGGAGAATTTTTGCTCAGACTTCCCAAGAAGTCTACTAGCTCTAGTTTACTAGACTAGAAATTAGTCTAGACTAGACTAGAAACTAGTAAACTAGACTAGATTAGAAACTAGTCTACTAGTTTCAGGCAAACCTGAAACTAAGATATGAAAAGAAAAAGTTGGGTGCCTGGGTGGCTCAGTCAGTTAAGCAGCTTTGCTTCTGCTCAGGTCATGCTCTCTGGGTCCTGGGATTCACTCAGTGGGGAGCCTGCTTATCCCTCTCCCGCTGCCTCTTTCCCCGCTCATTCTCTCTCTCTCTCTCTCCAGTAAATAAATAAAATCTTGAAAAGAAAAGGAAAGAAAAGAAAAGAGAAAAGAAGAAAAAAGAAAAGAGAAGAAAAGGAAAGAGAAAGAAGAAAAGAAAAGAAGAAAAGAAAAGAAGTTATGCAAATAGTAGTCACTGATATCTTTGGCAGCAGCGTGACTTTAAAAGCACTTGAAAAGAAACTTCCATTTGTGAATTGCCACAAGATGAAGATCAGTAATACCCTGGAAAATTACACTTGCTGCTTATGAAAATAATCTAATATAATATATGAAGTGAAAAAACAGTAATGGAGTAAATCTCAGATAAGAATGGTAAACCATTAACTTCAAATTGCTAAAAATGAAGACGGAGTTAAAGTTGACAAAATATCTTTTCAAATCCCAATATAAAAAAATGAACTGTAGAAGTAGGCATTTGTGATTTTCAGACTCATTTTTTTAATAAATTCTCTTAACTTACTTCATAACTGCATGCAGCAGCAGTTTAGAATATATATTTTCAAGTCATTCACCTTCTTAAAACAACAACAAAAACAACAACAAAACCCCAACATGAAAGAAAAAATTTCTTTTTTCTGTCTGTTCTGGTAACATAGGAACAGATCAGACTTTCACTAATTTTATTTTAAAAGTATATTTTTATATTTTATAAAAAAATTCTATTGCATAACTATATTACCTTTTCTTCAGATAGTTAAGATGATACTGAACTTGTTCATTTTCTCTAACATTATTACTCAAAATTGCTCTAGAAAAGAAAAAAAAAAGATTGAATGAATACTAGTTTGAAACACAGTGAATATGTGTTTACTTTTTCCCCTGCTTTCTTTCAAGTGCCCCTCCTCGCTAGCCAGGCAGAATTAACCACTTTTTATTTTATATCAAATACACTTTCCTCCCCAAGTTTTATTCCTGATTTTACTGAGAAAGCCTCTAGGATTTTGTCATTATGTAGAATACTTGCTGTAGGCTCCAGATAGACAATCTCTGTCATATTAAGGAAGCATCCTTACATTCTTGTTCTTTAAAGAGTTTTTTTGTTTTGTTTTGTTTTGTTTTGTTTTATTCTTAAATAAGGAATTAGTATTGAATCCAGCAAATGGTTTAGAACAGATATTAAAATATCACATTATGTTTTTCTAGTTTAATCTGTTATGTTGTTTTGACAGTTTTCCTAAAGTAATCTTTGGGTTCCTAAACTAAATTTTATTTGTTTAGTGTTAATTATTCTTTAGATATACATTTGGATTCTATTTCTAGTTTAGTAATTCTACATCTATATTATTAGTGAAAGGGGTTTAACAGTTTTCAGGGTATGTATTTGTACATATATTCTATTTTTTCAGGTTTTGATATCAGGATTATAATTTTACGTAATGAAAATAGCTTGCTACTATTTTATTTATTTTTGTTTCACACATTTATTTATTGAAATACAATTTTAAGCAAAGGTACAATCAAAGTTCTTATTACATTCTATAATTGTAATTAATTTAGATGAGTTCAGCTTCTTGATGGCAGAATCCTGTCTTATTTTCTTTGATCCCCACTATGGTAGCTTGCATATTAAGTGTCAACTGGAACTCAACTTCTTAAAGTAGCCCTAGTGACAGAACAAGTTTAAAGTTTACAGGTAGCAGGTCATGCAACACAGACTTCACTTTTCTTTTACTGATGGAATCCTAAGCTTCTGAAATTAACAATGACTTCCTGCTTAAGGCTAACAGCATCAAAAGACATTACATTCTTCAGAAAAACACCTTATCACCATAAAATAAATAATGACATTTAAAAAGAAATGTTTCTAAGGAAATATGTTTCTATGGGAAACAAATTAAGTAGAGATCAAGGGCGAAATGGAAAACTTTCATACTTACATTATTACTGAATCCATCATAGTTTGCAAATGCTCTCTACTACTCTTTGAAAGAGGCTGCCAGGTTTTTCTCTTGTTGGATGTTATCCTAACCTGTTTTAGATTAGTATGCTCTGTTTGTCCTGTTACTGGTAAAAGAAGAGACTAGGTCAACCTTGAAGTTTTATGTTTTTACTTAAAAAGTGCTTCAAGTATAAATTTATTTTAAAAAGCTAATAGAAGTATGAGAACCAAAATATTATGAAACTGCATAAACTGTTAAATTTCCTTTTTATTGCATAGACATACTATGCCAGGTGTTGAGCATGATTATGCTGTCTAATGTTATGTTAACTAAAATACTACTAGCTGATTGCATATACAAACCCAAGGCAATTCTAAATGAAGAAGCAGGCTACAATTATTAGGATTCAATATAAAAGTCTGATTCCCAGAAATGACCTAAATTAAAGAGCTTCACTAAGAAAACTAGAAAGCTATTTCTACCAAACACTGAATGGCAACTGGAACAAAATATTCAGGGTCTACTTAGTTATTGGTACTGTTCTACTTCTAAGGGATAAACAAAGGAGATACACTATTGGCTCATATTACGATTAGTTTTGGAGAGAAGGGAAACTAAATAATTATCATTACAGGTATTCAAAACATTACAAAAGAAAAAGGACACTGTGAACTATGGATGTATAGCTTCCTAGCTTGGTGTTGGTGAGGAGAGAGAGGGAATTCCTAAATGAAGTGATGCCTAAGAAAAGATGACCACTCCAAATTAATTTACTACAACAAAAGTAGACAGTAGCCCCAAACTAATCTATGCAATAGTGGTAGGACAGAAGTATATGTTTTAAAGAGAAATCAGTAGGTGTGTCTATATATCATAGATCAGTAATAATTCAGATTGTGGGACACTTTGATTTTTCTCTAGTACTTATCAGTTTAGAACCTTACTCAATATTTTGCTTGAGGTGGTAAGTAAAATTTCAGCTGACCAAAATTACTGACTAACCAATATTACTTATTCTTGCAAAAATGAGAATATAGCTTTATTACTATCTTTTGCTTTTTTTAAAAAAAAGATTTATTTATTTGAGACAGAGAGAACACATGTGGGGTGGGGTGGGGAGGGAAAGGGAGAAAGTCCCAAGCACACTCGCACATTCCTCACTGAGCGCAGAGTCCACGTGGGGCTCTGACCTCATGACCCTGAGATCACAAACTGAGCCAAACCGAAGGTCAGACACTCAACTGACTATGCCACCCAGGAGCCCCTACTATCTTTTGCTTTTGTACAACTCATAAACAAGAAGCTGAGAATTTTTTCATGAATACAGGCAGCTTGAGACAGACAAATAAGATATGGAAAATAAATACCTTCAATAAGCAGATGCTTTGGATTTTTATTCTTTGCTGTGTTTCTAACCTAGAAAAAAAACATGCACACATAATTAAACATCAGATAAAAAGACACTGCTTTTGCAATATATTTGTCATGTATGTTGAAGCGTATTCATATATCTTCTGGCTAGACAGAAAATGTATATTGCCACTTTTACAGAGAAAGGGTGTGTATTTCACAGGCAGAGGATATACTAAAACAATTTCTGGACAATGGTAATAATGTACAATAGAATTCCAATAATTTTCTTTTTAAGATTTATTTTTATTTATTTTAGAGAGAGTAAGAGAGCTCACAATTGGGGGTAGGAGCAGAGATAGAGAATCTTTCTAGCAGATTCCCTGCTGAGTGCAGAGCCCTACTCAGGTCTCGATCCCACTATGCAGGAAACCATGACCTGAGCCAAAATCAAGAGTGGAATGCTTAACTGAACGAGACGTCTAGGTGCCCTGTGTCTAAGAATATGTTAAAGAAATCTTCAGTCATTCTGCCTATGATATAGTGTTATATACTTTACCTGCAAAAAACACAGGCATTGCCTAATATAGGATAAATCACAACAAAATTTTTTACATTTTAAATATTCTTTTGCGAGAGAGGCAAAATTACAGCAGAAAGAAGCTCATTCCTCCCAAGGTAATTTTTCTGTTAATAAAAACCTCTTCTACCAATTGACAGATTTCAAGTAAAGTGTACACACTTTACTCCTAGTCTTCACATTCAAACACCTTAGCAATGTTCCATGTCCCTCTCCTCAATAAAGAATTCTATACTCAGTATCTTTAGAAATTGAAATAAACAATTTTCATCTAAGAATTTTTATAAATTATGTTGCAATAGCTCCCACATAATGATATGAATTACTATAATTTGTACTCAAACTGACCTTTAGTCTTCACATATTCCTCAAATGACATTTTTAATCAAAAAGGTCTGAAAGATTAACTCGGTATTTTCATTACCTTTTTCCCTGGTAACTCCACTTCCTCATCATCAATTTTTCTTTTTGGGTTTCTTTTTAACTGTTGAGACCTTTTCTTGGAAGAACTTGCTTTGCTAGACATCTTGATCTAAACAGAACAATTATAACAGTGCTTCAAAAAAATCTGTGAAGATAAAAAGGACACAAAAATAAGTTTAAGCTTGCCGAATATTTTGTTAAAAAGAACTATGTATAGAGACACCTGGGTGGCTCAGCCAGTTAAGTGGCTGCCTTCAGCTCAGGTCGTGGTCATAGGTTCCTGGGATCTAGTGCCACATCAGGCTCTCAGTGCTCAGTGGTGAGCCTATTTCTCCCTCTGCCTGCCATTTCCTCTGCTTGTGCTCACTCTCTCTCTGATGAAAAAAAAGAAAAAAAGAAAAAAAAAAAGAACTACCTATAAATGTTCCAAATATTCTTTAAAAAAATCATAATGAAAGTTCTGGGGAGGTATTGTTTTTAGAACATTTAAACATATTTTAAAACAAGTATCATTGCTTATTATTAAAGTAAATGTATCTAATTCAGTTTCATTCCTAGAAATTTCTTCTATTTTTATGGCTTTTAAAAAATCATGTGAAAGTTCTTTTGCATCTCTTACTTTATACTCCCCCATACAATAACATTATCTCCATGTTTCAATCCAAAAAATGGAAATATAAAATATTAAATTATTTTACTCTGGTCACAGATAATATTAACTTGAATATTAATACTCAGGTCTTTTTATTTTAAGCCTAATAGATTTCTCATTCGACTTATGCCAAAGATGAAAGGTGATAATCTTTAGGATCCACACTACGAATCTATGCTATGGATATTCAAGTGGAAAAGTCACTCATAAGAATTTAAGCTAAAACTTGCCATTGCATTTTTATTTATTTTTATTTTTTTTTAAAGATTTTTTTAATATATTTATTTGACAGACAGAGATCACAAATAGGCAGAGAAGCAGGCAGAGAGAGAGGAGGAAGCAGGCTCCCCACTGAGCAGAGAGCCCGATGCGATGCGGGGCTTGATCCCAGGACCCTGGGATCATGACCTGAGCTGAAGGCAGAGGCTTTAACCCGCTGAGCCACCCAGCGCCCCTGCCATTGCATTTTTAAAAAGCACAGAAGTATACTGATTATTCTGTCCTTCCACAAATTACAAAACAGGCACAGAAGTGTGAATGTTGTCAATGACAACATTTAAAATGACTCCTTTTCCATATCTAATAGTCCTTTATCACAAAATTCATTATTGTTAAAAGGAACAGAATAATAGGATGTTTATTCTTGCATTAGACCTTAAGGAATAGAAAGCTTAGAAGTTATACTGTAATACATGGAGGGGTGTGTGTGTGTGTGTGTGTGCACACGTGCGCACACGTGTGTGCATATGTACAGGCATACCTCAGAGATATTGTAGGTTCTGTTCTAGACGACAACAATAAAGCAAATATTGCAATAAAGTGAGTCAAATGAAATTTTTTGTTTGATTTGTGTGTAAAAGTTATGCTTACATTATACAGTAGTCTACTAAGTGTGCAATAGTATTATGTTTAAAAAATATACATAAAGCTGAAAAATGCTATCATCTGAGCTTTCAGCAAGTCAATCACTGATCACAGATCACTATAACAAATATAATAATAATGGAAGATTCTAAAATCTTGCAAGAATTCCTGAAATGTAACAGACAGAAAGTCAGCAAATGCTGTTGGAAACATGGAGTCAAAAGACTTGCTGATGGGGGTGCCTGGGTGGCTCAGTGGGTTAAGCCGCTGCCTTCGGCTCAGGTCATGATCTCAGAGTCCTGGGATCAAGTCCCACATCGGGCTCTCTGCTCAGCAGGGAGCCTGCTTCCTCCTCTCTCTCTGCCTGCCTCTCTGCCTGCTTGTGATCTCTCTGTCAAATAAATAAAATCTTAAAAAAAGAAAAAAAAAAGACTTGCTGATGATTGGGGTGCCTGGGTGGCTCAGTGGGTTAAAGCCTCTGCCTTCGGCTCAGGTCATGATCTCAGAGTCCTGGGATCGAGCCCCACATCGGGCTCTCTGCTCAGCAGGGAGCCTGCTTTCTCCTCTCTCTCTGCCTGCCTCTTTGCCTACTTGTAATCTCTGTCTGTCAAATAAATAAAATCTTAAAAAAAAAAAGACTTGCTGATGTAGGATTGCCACAAACCTTCAATTTATAAGAATCAAAGTATCTGTGAAGTGTGATAAAATGAGGTATGCCTGTATACACACACATACATATATGTAGTATATACATTTTATACACACCCCCCACACATATATATGTTTTCTAAGCATATACAACTAGATACATACCAGTCACCATTCCTTTTCTAAAAATTCAGAGATAATTAGATTAATAATTTATATATGCAGATTGAGAGACAATAAAGGAGATACTTTGGATAAATCTATTTCTTCAAATTTTGAAAGGTAAAATTTCAACTTTTTTTTCAGTAACATTAACGAAAATAGTGGTAAATAATTAATTGAAAGATCACCAACTATACTTGGGGACTACATGTAAGATCAGTTACAAAAAGCCCTGGTAAATTACACTTTACCCTGGTCTTGAACAATGTGGTACTTTACACCCAGCCTGTGTTATATTCCCAAGATGCCTAATTCTTTCAACGTGGCATCCATGCCCTTATTCTTCCCTGACTTAAAAACCAATCCACATGACAGTTCTTGAAGGGCTACCATACATATAGCTGTACAGGTTGTTCAATGAAGAAGGTGAGGCAGCAAATGAGGGCTGAAATTTAGTCCTAACTCCATTTGGTAGATTAAAAATGCTGCAAATTCCTTTTTATTCCTGTTATTGAGAGATGGAGACTATGTCCTTTTATCTTAAATCTTGGCAGACTCTGTAGCTGTTTGAGCAGTAGAATATGGTGAAAATGATTCTGGACCAGTTTACTGGCCTAAACATGAAGAGACCAGCAGCCGCAACACGCTCATGTTTGGAGTATTTGCTCTTGGAACCCAGCTACCATGCTATGACGAAGGCCAATATGTAGAGGAACTAAAAGCCCCAGCAAAAGCTCCAGCTGAACTCCCAGCCAATAGCTAGTACCAGCTTGCCAGCCTGGTACATATACCTGAGCCAGTATGCTACAGCTGACCTTGCATGGAAAAGAAATTAGTCAGCCCTACCAAACAACCAAAGTTGTTTCTGATTCCAAATTCTGGAACAAAATAAATGACTTCTTTTTAAATTAAAAAAAAAAATTAAAAATCCTTCCCCAATACCTACGATACAACATCCAACTCTTTACCATGCCATTTACAGTTCTTAACAATCTAGCTCTGCCTGGTGTTCCATATTTCTCTCACTACTCCTTGTAAGACTCTCTCTCTCTCTCTAGCTAGATTTGATGATTCTCCAAACACACGTTGAGTAACGCATACACTATGCTCTCTACCTGAACTGCTCTCCTTTCCTGTCTCTGCCCACCCTCTCAGAGCATGAGCGGCCCGCTCTCCATGCCTCCTAACCACTCCACTCTACTCTAAGTCTGTGGGTGCTTCTGGTGTCTAACTCTCACCTGGCACTTATTTATAGTTTGGTTCTATTAATCAGTTTTTCTTGGTACTCTTTATTCAATAACCTGTAATTTAGTGCTACTCTAAATATGACTCACAAACTACTATTGTCCTTTTAAATATAGAAACTGACAGTATTCATTTAGAAATTTTTATCGTAATTTGGCAACAATTTTATGTATGCTGCATCTTATTATAAAATAATTGGGTTTGCTTTTTTCTTTTTAAATGTCATTTTCCCAGTAATTTTTTTTAAAAGATTTTATTTATTTATTTGAGAAAGAGAGAGTGAGAGAGAGCATGAGAGGGGAGAATGTCAGAGGGAGAAGCAGACTTCCAGTGGAGCTGGGAGCCCAATGCCGGACTCCATCCGGGATTCCAGGATCATGACCGGAGCTGAAGCAGTCGCTTAACGAACTGAGCCACCCAGGTGCCCCAACCCCCAGGAATTCGTTAAAACAAAGCAAAACAAACAACTCACCACTTTTTTTTTTTTTTAAGAAATGTTTTATGTTCACATCAAAATTAAGCAGCAAGTATAAAGAGTTCTCACCTACCCCCTGTACCCCCTCATTATCCCAACTTTCTCCACTACCAACCTCCCACACCAGAGTGGTACATTTGCTATAATTCATGAAGTTCCACTGACATATCCTACCGCCCAAAGTCTATAGCTTAAAGTAAGGCTTCATTCTTGGTGTTATATACTCTATGGGTTTGACTAGCAATTAATTTTTAGTTGAATTGTACAAAAGAATCAGTTGTGGCTGATTAAAAATTAAAGAAAAAAAGGTTGGTCCTTTACTACCGGCAATACAAGATGCAGCATTTTCATTCATACCTACTTGAGGCAATAAACCATAGCACAAATAGTTTCTAAAGCTTGATACTATCAACATTTTGGATGGGATAACTCTTTGTTGTGGAGGCTGTCCCATGAACTGTAAGGTGTTCTGCAGCAGTTCTGTTCTCTAGTTGCCAGTACCCTCCCTTCCCCAAGGTGTGACAACCCAAACATTATTAAATGTCTCCTGGCCTTAAAGCACCTCAGATTGAGAACCACTGCCAAGAGCAAGTCAGGGATAAGGATAAATGGCTTGATTCCAAATTCTGGCTCTGCCGTACTACCTTAGGCAAGTAAATCTGTTCAATTTCCCCACTGGTAAAAGGGGTTAAAGTTAAAAGCACCAACATTAAAGGCTTTTGTGAAGCTAAAATTTTGTACAGAATACATAAAGTGCCTAGAACAACAGTTAGGACATAGTAAGAATTCAATAAATAGGAGTCAAAATTTTCTATCACTACCCGGCCAGTTGTAGAGGAACTAAAATAGAAATTTTAATGCAAATGTAAAAGGGATAGACATTTTACCCTGCTTTAGATCCACAGGAAACCACAACCCGGTGACAGTGGGTAGAGACAGATATGAAAACAATTACTATATAAAGTTATATATTATGTGAAAAAAGTTATAAAAGATGAGTGAATGACTATCTCAAATTGATGTGTATGTGTGTGTGGGGGGGTAATGATATATGGTACTCAGGAAAAAAAAAAAAAGTAACACGGAATTACATTTTTAAATATTTAGCCAGAAGGACCAAGAATGAAGTATTTAAGAGAAAGTAGCAAAAGCCAGATGGCAGAACAGCGGAAAAGAAACTGTTCTGTTCGGGCACAGGGAAAATTCAACGAGACTCGAACGTGTATGGGAGTAACCGACAGAAACAAGATTGGAATGGTAGTTTGAGGCCAGACTATGTACTACAGCAAAGAATTTACTCCTTAGTCTGTAAGAAACAGGGAGGCATCCTAAATTCTCTTAATTTTCTTATCGGCTTACTGAAATAAATGGGAACCAAGTCGCTCAACCTAGGCCTCAATGTAAGCACACGGAGCAAGCACCAAGTTTGGCAAAACACAAATAACGCGATGTTTACCTCCCGATACATGCCTCGGGCTAGCGACGCTGCCGACCGCAATCACGTCAATGCCCGAAGACACTAACCTCTAAGGCTGCACTTGGCCTCACTACGGGCGGCCGGGGGAGATTAAGGGAAAAGAACCGGGATGAGGATGATCTGGGGAAAGGAGGGAAGACCCCAGGAATCAGGTGCGGGGCTTCACTGCCTCCTCGCGAAATCAAATACTTCAATCCTTGGTCCCGAAGGGCAGATCTGGAAAATCACCTCACCCTTCTGAGATACAAGCCGGGGAGTCGGCCACAATCGCGTTGGCCACAAAGCCCATGCCGCAAGCTGGACCCACCAGCAGTTTAAAAGCTTTCACTACTCACCGAAGACGCCTCTTCAATCCTCCAGGGAGCTACTGTGAGACCAATTCCCGCCCAACCCTTTGAAAGCGAAGGAGGACAGAAGTGGGCGGGTAGAAACCGGAAGCAACTGTGGGGAGAGGCGGGCATCTCGTTACAGCCCTAACGTCATCAGAAGCGCGCCATGGGAGCGCGATGAGATTGGCTGCGGGGAGGGCGTTGTCGGCCTACGCCCCTTGACTCCTGCGCCGGCTTTTGCGCAAGCTCAGTGGGGAGCTGGGCTGTGTGGATCTCTCCGTCGCGGGGTTTGGGTCTTCGAAGTCCAGCCGACTTCTCCCGCAGCCGACGGCCAAGACAGGTCGGCCAGTGAGTAAGACTGTGCACCTCGGGATACGTCGGTCCTTCAGTTCTCTCCATTCTTCTGGCTCCTCTCTCCCCACTTACTCTGTCCTCTGAGCCTGTCCTATTTCTCTTGCCAGCTTCCATATTTAGCTTCCCACCGTGACGGCACTCAGCCCTCCTCTACCTTCTCCTTGGATTTAGATTCTCCACCGACCCCTCACTTTTACCGTGGTGTATGGGAATTGGGAAGTACTGCTGGAAAGAAGATCCGCCTCAGAGGCCATGTCGTCATCCTCCCTGGTCACCCCAACACCCCGAGGTTCCGCTAGGCAGAGTGGGCTTGCAAGATTACACAAGGGTGCTCTGGCTCCACAGCCGCCTCCGCTCTAGGCTGCGGCTCTTGTTACTGTGAGGGTTTTTTTGGTAAGAGGTGGCAGGACTGAAGGTGACTTTCTGTATACAGGTAGAGGTAAGGGTGAGAGGTGAAATAGGAAAGACAGGTCTAAATTGACATAAAACTAAATTACTAACTTCTGTTTTATCTTGAAAGAGCTCAAGATGTTGTCATCTCCAACCCACACTGGCTGAACATTGGAGGTGGCTAACCTTTCCTGCAGTATTAATGTGAAACCACATTATTTGAAAAGTTATTTGATTCAGAACTGTAGGTATTTTACCCATATTTTGGGGGACCGTGGGCGTGAGCTTCATCATTATTAACACATTCTAATCGTCAGTAACTGTATTTTTTTACATTTTGCTTCTTTGGATACTTGAAGCATTTTCATGGATCTTCTGAGAAAATTCAGAAGTCCTGTTGCTACCAACAGTAGTTGTGTTCTTAGCTAAAATGCTATTTTCAGCCTTTCTCAACTTGCCATGTGATTTTCCGGAAGTCACCTAGTAGAGGGCTCTTTCCTATCACTTGTCCAGATTTGGGGAACCAGTATTTTGTGAAGATGAGTGTAATATGTCCTGTCTACGAATCTAACAAAACCACTGTAATTGTTCAGTCATGTATCATTTTTCTCACCTACTTTTTAAGCTAGTACATGTAGTTTATGCTTGCAAGAAGATGGATGACAAGGACCCCATGGATATGATAGAATAAAAATCATAGTAGCTTTAAAAGAGTAATGGCAATTGTCTTGTTGTATTTCTGTTTAGAGTTTGTTCTGTGCACTTTTTACCCAGTTGAACATATTGCATTTACAGTGTTTTATCCTGATTCTTTTACTGAATACTTTTTTGAGCCTATCTCCTTTTTAAACTATGCAGAACATATTTTAAATTTGACTTAGGTATAATATATTTACCGATAAGTGTACATATCACAATTGTACATTTTGATGAATTTCCACAAACTTAGTACATCTTTATAATTACCATTTAGATGAAGGCTATCACCCCAAAGCACCTCTCACTCCCTTTCTGTACTAGCCATCACAAGTAACCACTCTTCTGACTTCTGCCATTAAAGATTAGTTTTGTCTATATATTTTAATTTAAAATATATTTTAATAGCTACATGAAAATTCTATCACTTGTATAGACTATTCACTTATTCCTACATTGTTAGATATTGAAGATGTTTCTAAATTTTCTTTATTACAAGTAAAACTATAGGAAACTTTTATTTTTACACAGTAACTTTCTTAGGAGTGTTGTTCCTCAGTGGAACGGCATAATCCATTCTGACACTTTTTGTACATACTACCAATTTGCTTTCCAAAGTAGTAATGGCAGTTAATATTCCCACCAATGGTTTATGTCTTTTGTTTCATAATCCCCTAACAAATGTTGGGTATTCTTATGTTTCTTTAAGCTTCATTAAATTGATAGGTAGGAGATGGTATGGAAAATGCAGGTTTTTTTTTTAAAGATTTTATTTTATTTATTTGACAGAGAGAGATCACAGTAGACAGAGACAGGCAGAGAGAGAGAGAGAGGGAAGCAGCCTCCCCACCGAGCAGAGAGCCCGATGAAGGACTCGATCCCAGGATCCCGAGATCATGACCTGAGCCGAAGGCAGCGGCTTAACCCACTGAGCCACCCAGGCGTCCCTGGAAAATACAGTTTTAAGCTCACTTTACTTGTTACTTTATACATTACATGGCATGATGAATATATTGATAGAATTTGCATCTCAAAATCTTTTAAAATACCAGGCTCTATATGTTGAGGCTGTATGACTCTGACATTTATTTAGTAATTCAGATGAAGAATGGAATTTTGTTTAAGTTTCTTTATTCCTTTATTTCTCTGGATCTTAATTTCTGTATCTGTAAAATGATGAAATCAGACCTAGTCACTTAGTGTAACACTGTGCTAGTGATCAGGAATATACACTTCTAATGTCAGATCAGTGTATAAACTAGCAGAAAAATATATACATATATATTTATATAAAATTTTAGACATATATTTGTATAAATATAAAATGCATCTTAAATATATTTCATATAAACATAAAAGAACAATGTTCTAATATATTGTAGTGTGGGAGATGACAGATGTGTAAACAGAGAAATAGTGCTGTGGTACAGATTACTGAAGAGCCCATTTAGCCCAGCTTGTGAATTCAGGGAGAAGCTGTGAATATATTATTTAAATTCAAGGACTCTTGAATGCTGACTCTTCTGTGTCTTAGTTTCCTCATCTGTAAAATGGGGATAATATTAGTACTGGTCTTGGTAGTGGCATGAGGATTAAAATTGCTACTCTGTGTACAGTTCATACAGCAGTGCCGGGCACATGGACAACCCTGTGTATTGGAGATGATGCCTTAGCCACATTAGCCAAAGAAAAACATTCTAGGTAGATGAAAGAGCAAGTCACAGAACTTTGATATATGCAGGGAGCGGTAGGTTATACAGTATTTCTAGAACAAAATGTATAGAGGACAAAAGCAGTTATGAGTCTGAGAGGTACGCAGAGATCAGGTCATAGAGGCCTTGAATGCATATTTGTCTTGTTTGCCACTTTTTTCTCCAGCACCCAACACAATGCCTTTCATAAAACAGGTGTACAAATATTTTCAGTGAAAAAATTAGGAGCCTGTATTTTATCCTGTACATAATGCAGAACCTTTGAAATGTGAAGTGTGAACTGTGACATGGTCATATTTGCATTGGTGTCAGTGTGTGGAATGGATTAGAGGGCCTAAGACTCTCCAGTAAAACCAGTCAAGAAAGTATTGAGGAAGAAGACTAGAACAATGATAATGGTTGTGGGGAAGAGGGGCCAAAGTTCTAAAACATCAGGTATAGAAACCAGAAAAGGAGAAGGGATGAAATAATACTAAAATACTGCCTTTGTTCCCTTCTCACCAGTAGTTCCCATTTTGCCTTTTGTAAATACATGTATATTCTGCTTCTTTTTCTAGGCCAGTTCTTGTTCTTTTTGAGTGTTTTTCATGCTCCATCATGTTGAGGGCTAAGACTCGGCTTCTTTTACTTTCACCACACCACCTGAAGCAGCTCAAAGAGTCACCAGGATCCAGGCTTATGTGGCGGCGACTTCTGCATCAGCGACAACCCCTTCATCCAGAATGGGCTGCCCTGGCTAAAAAGCAGTTGAAAGGCAAAAACCCAGAAGACTTAACATGGCACACTCCAGAAGGGATCTCCATAAAGCCTTTATATTCTAGCAGGGATACCAAGGATTTTCCTGAAGAACTTCCAGGAGTGAAGCCATTCACACGTGGACCATATCCCACCATGTACACCTTTAGGCCCTGGACCATCCGCCAGTATGCTGGTTTTAGTACTGTGGAAGAAAGCAATAAGTTCTATAAAGACAATATTAAGGGTGAGATTTTAATGCAACACATAGTATTTTATAATCATTTCCTGTTCTTGGCTTCTTTTGAAGGGAGACTGTTTAATCTGTTTAAAGATGATAGTCACTTTATAATTTTGTAGTCAAGACTATACTTTGGAAATAGATGAATGTTTTTCAACTTCCGTGGTCAAAAGGATGGGTGAGCCAGATTAAGTTGTTAAATTCTTAAATGCCAACAATCAACATGCAGGTTATGGGGACATGTGGGTGGCACAGTCAGTTGAGCATCCGACTCTTGGTTTTGTCTCAGTTCATAATCTCAGGGTCTTGAGATCAAACCCTGTGTCAGGCACATTTTGCGCTCAGTGCGGAGTCTACTTAAAAAAGACTCCACCTCACTTAGTGTAACACTGTTCTGGTTATCAGGAATATATACCTCTAATGTCAGATCAGTGTATAAACTAGCAGCATCTCCCCTACTCAAATAAATAAATAAATAATAAATCTTTAAAAATTGCGTATTTAAAAGGAATTAGGTGAAATTGTATGATAAAAACAGACCTTGGTTTTTTCTTTGAGAAGCTTTTAATTAACACTGTTAATATAGGAATTGAAGGGGAAAATGGCTTAAAAGATGCCCAAATAAAGTAATAAATGATAATGTACAAATATATTCAGTGCAGTCTGGCATTCTTGTCTCAGAAAATTATATTAACTACTATTTCTTCTATCTGGTCTGTATTAAAATCATGTTGTTTGAATGCTAAATTTGAGGATTTATAAATTTATATTGCACATGGAGTATTGATCTTATATTTAGTCTAGACTATTTTAGTTTTTGGCATGGTGTTCCTAATTCTGTTTCCCAAAATATTTGAAGAGCCAAGACATCTTGTTATTACCATATTAAATACAAAAATGAAAATAAATAAGCATACCAAATTATGTTAAGTATTTGTAAACAGC